CACAAACCTTACCCCTTACCCCTAACTCATGGAGATAGAGAGGTTATACATTCTTTAAATCTCTCAGGAAATAAAGTAATAAATCCAAGCGAGAAAGCTTCAAAAGGGACATTTCAGTATTGATGGATCATTCAGAGGTTATGAACATTACCCGACCAGCTACCATGGCTCACTCTGTCATTTTTGTGACAGTTCAAAATTAATTCTGCTTATTAACTGGTGTAGACCTAAAACCTAACAGATAAATATGTTCCTTCTCATACACTTTAAGGTTTTAGACTAGGCAACCACACTATTCAAACAACAACTTGAAGCTTTTAAATGAGACAGTTCACAGACATCAATATGATATCAGAGCATATCAAGTATATCATAACAAACACTAATTCTAGGTTCGAACCTCACCATCACAATTAAGAGAATATTTTCACATTACTGGTCCAATAAAAAGACACAACAGAGAGCGTGTTGCAAATCTAAACTATGATATCAAAGTATTAAACGTTTACACAATACTTTACACATTCATAAGTTACACTTCCAAAAATAGCAACAATATTAGTGAATTTATTTTCTACTCACTCTTTTTTTAAAAGAACCGGTAATAAATGATAACAGGATAAAAAGTGGGAGATGTAGTTACAGAGGTTGGGGAACAATAAGTAGTATAGATGAGCTCAATAATTTTGCTTATGACAAAGAAAGATGAGGACAACAAGAACACGTATACATATTCATTTCAGGCACTGAACATTTGCCATGAATTTCATTACACCACTTGCCTGGAAAACTGAATCACCACCCTAATGCAAATAGATGTATATGATAGTTTACCACCCACTAGCAAATATTACCATGCACATGGAGATTAAGAAACACATGCACTACATGTTGAAGAAGGAATTTGTCATATGGACAAGTTTACACGTTTCAGTTCATCTTTTCTCTGTTTTCAAATTAAGAATGTCGATATGAGTTCTAATCCATGTGTCAAAATTTTCCAATTCAAGGCCCTAAGCTATAGATTTAATTGAAAAACTTCAAGGAATAGCGCCATAAAAGGTAAGTGTTTTTTTATATAACTCTTCCTTTTTTGAATAGTAATCACAGTTCACTCACTGGTCCCTGCTATCTCTTTCCCTATTAAACTATGTATGTAAGAACATTGTTGAAGCATATTTCGGATTTTATGAGTATTACGTACGGGGCTCTCGTGCTTTAACAATCAACCATATAAAAATAAAAATTCTGGCCTTAGATAAGACTTGGCTCCATTACCTTCCAACATTGCCTCCATATTGCCACAGTTTCAAACAGACAGATCCGTGAATCCAAGCGAAAAAATAATTTAATAGAACAACAAAGATGAGCAGCATACATCTACAAAAAGTACTAAAGTGACTACTCTTTCGGTACAAACATAATAACCATCTATACATCAAAAATTTATAAACAATAAAATTTAACTTCGTCTCTGGAAAAGCTATCTAGGCTATTAAATCAACATTCATTAAAAGGATGTTGTTGACATATATAGATAAATAGTGCAGAATTTTAAAAAAAATGAATGAGTTGAGAAATTAACTTTTATTTATCACCAACCCTTCATGTTGAGCACAACTCCTCAGCACCCCAAAAGCCATAGAAAGCCAATAGATAATGGAGAGTACCATGACCCAAAAGAAACATAAGTAGAAGGTTGTACATGTACTTACCATTTCTGAATCATAGATAGCAGTAGTTGATATGGTGAAGCGGCGGACATTAGAGAGTGTTTGGCTAAGCTTATAAGCTGGTCAAACTGGCTTATAGCTTATAAGCACTTTCTACCTTATCTAAGCATTTGGTAAACATTAAACGTGCTTATAATCCAAAATCAACCAAAGCCTTAAGTTGGTCATCATTTTAGTCCTTCATATGTACAAAAAGTACTATTTCGGTTACATGTATATATGAAGAACTAAAATGATCACTTTTTTCCATACATTAAGCATCATTTTTTCATACCGTATATATGAACGACTAAAATTGTCCAACTCCCATAACCAAGAAACACCCAAGGACAGTGGTGTCCCTTTTACCATTCTCCGCTCCACTTAAATCATGTTTTTATCTAGAGCAGGATTCAAACCAATCTGTTCTCCTAACACACACTCTCGCTCTTACCACTACAACAATGTCCCTTAAAACAAAATTACTAAAACTACAGTTCAAAAGGGAAAATAAAGTGAATTTCATCAAATTCAACGTAATTTAGATCAGTTCGTTTGAGAGTTCTCATCGGAAAGAAAAAACACATAAGGGAGATATCACAAATCAAAATGAATAACAGTTTAACAATATAATCTCATCAAACTGCAAGTTCTTGGAACAAATTAGAATTAAATAAATGAAAATGAAGAAGGAAAAGAACCTGGGCTACGACGCCGATGCGATAATAACATCGTGATTCTTCAATCAATGAATACAAAATCAAGAAATTGTAAGAACCCTAAAAACCCAAATATTTGCAGCAAGAAAGGGCGTTGAAGGGTGGCGTAATTATATGAACCGACCCGACAATTTTACAACTGGACCCGGATCTTTTAGCGGACTTAATTGGGTGATTGGATTGGGCTTTATTTGAAGTGTGTTTTTGTTTGAACAACTTTCATATATAGCAAAATATTTGTACGTTATAGTTATAGTTTGAATAATTGCGCTAAAATTTGCTATGGAGCTTTTGATTTGTATAATTCGCTAGATACATCAAATTTTATACAAATTGTTCAGTTTTGTATAAAATTCATTTATACATTATAATTTGTATAATAAGATTTGTATTTGTATAATTATAAGTGTATAGGACGAAAATATATGTATTTGTATTTGTATTTGTATTTGTATAATTATAAGTGTATAGGACGAAAATATATGTATTTGTATTTGTATTTGTATTTGTATAATTATAAGTGTATAGGACGAAAATATATGTATTTGTATTTGTATAATTATAAGTGTATAGGACGAAAATATATGTATTTGTATTTGTATTTGTATTTGTATAATTATAAGTGTATAGGACGAAAATATATGTATTTGTATTTGTATTTGTATATACACTTTTTCTCTAGCTTTATACAAACATAAATGCATTTTATACTGAAATGTATAAAATGGTTAATTGTATACCGAATCAGATGGCAAAAAAATGGGATGTTTGTTGCGAATTACAAATAAAATAAACTATGGCTATAGCATTTAATTTGAATTAATAATTTGTTATTTCATACAATTTCTCCTTTTTGTTTTATTTTTAAAGTTTTTTTATTTATTTTGGGGACAATTTTAGAGACCTCTCCTCGTGTTTATATTTATCATAGTGACTTTTTCCTTATGGTTTAAGATATTAAGGATTTGGAGAATACGGAGATGTGGGGGATCGAACCCCATGCAAAGCGAGTTGCTCTGCCATTTGAGCTGCATCCCCAACTTCTAATTAAATTGATTAAAATTAGATGATTCTAGTATTATGTTTCTTATCTTCCTAAATAATTTTAACTGCTATATAATTTAATACTTTGTCAAAATCAAATTCACTTACTAATTAAATTAGAATTTGTGAACTTCAAATTCTTAAAAATGTCGTATTAAAATGTATTTTTTTTTTAAATTCATGACAAGTTGGTAGCAATTTGAAAAATTATTAACATTTTATTATTATCGAATTTAAAATGAAAATTGACCTAAAAAATTTATGCAAAAGTAAATTAAAAAGGAAATAAATGAATCTTAAAATCACAATAGCTATTGCTTATGGTAAAATTTTGTTAATAAAAAATTATTTATTTACTGATGAATGTCAAATCTTTTTAAGTTTTTCTTTGTCATTACAAATAAAGTCAAATAGATGCATATTCGAAATGTAAATGTTATGGGTTCAATACCTTTTATGTTTTTAGCGCTAAACTATTATATTCTTAAAGTTATTGATTCTTATTTATATTTATTATAATATTAATATATTTCTTCTGTGAATTTCAAATTCTTATAACATATTTTTATCATCTTTATTCTTTGAAGCATATTTTCAAGGGAAAATAGTATAAAATAGCAAATTATTAATTAAAATTAAATGTTGTAATCACAGTTTTATTTAATTATAATATGTAGCAAATACTTTGTCATTCGCCTCTCTCCCAGATATCTCGCTCGCCACTCTCTTGATCTTGCTCGCCACCCTCTCTCTTGCCTCTCTCACTTTACACAAATACAAATATATAAATTATGTTTGTGTTTGTATAAAGTGAGAGAAAAATTTCGTTCGCCTCTCTCCCCAAATATCTCGCTTGCCACTCTCTCTCTCGCCTCTCTCACTTTATACAAACACAAATGTATAAATTGTGTTTGTGTTTGTATAAATCGAGAGGAACTGTATATACAAATACTAATACATATCTTTTCGTCTTATACACTTATAATTATACAATACAAATCTGCTCCTACCCAATTCTCTTTTGTCTTTCTCTCTTTCTCGCTTTATACAAACACAGATTATACAAAAAAAAAAAAAACTTTCTTATTTGTATACAGATTCCAAATATATACTTATACAATTGTTTCTTTTTGTATAAGTATACCAAAATATACATATCAATAGTCATAGCAAACATAAAGTTTGTTGTGGAACGCGTATGCAAACTATAGTTATGACATACAAATATGATTTTTATGTTAGCTAAACCTAAAATTTACTCTATTTTCAATTCTTTTGCTCCTCCTTGCTATAGTACTAATCAAGTTCCTCGTTGTATGTAAATTTTAGTGTGTCGCGATTAAAAAAAAAGGTTAAGATTTCATCAAGAAGCATAATGAGACCTCAATTGCAACAGGTAGAAATTATATTTTCTGTGCGTCCATTAAAAACAAGTCTAAAAAAAAAAATTCTTACTTAATCACAAAACGCTTTACTATGAGTCTAAATTAAAAGTATCATTTGACTTCTCAAAAATGTTGAATTGGGTTCAGGTAATGGACTTATTTGTCTAACTAATACGAGTCATTTTGATCATATTATATATTTGACTAATTCATTTATAAATGATATGATCAAAATTACTAATATCACGAGACATAATAGACCATTAACTGAACTCACAATAATGCAAGTCAACATACTTGATAAGTTAATGGGTATTCTTAGTCTAGATTCATAGTAAAAAAAATTGTGACTAAGCAGAGTAAAAACAAATTATATTTGATTTTAATAGACATGACATAAAGAACATAGTGTTACAAGTTGCAACCTCAAGATATTTCTTGATAAAAAATATCCAACAAGGAACTTGATTAGATGATCTCAAAGGATAGAGAAGAAAGATACATTTTTAACAGCCACACAATTTGAAATTCAAACAAAAAATATAAAAATTACACTATAATGAATAATAAAATATGACCCGATAACTTTAAGAATACGACAAGTTAATGCTAAAAACATTAAAAATGTTGAGTCTATAACATTTAAATTACAAATAGGCCTTCGTAAAGTTGCTGTTATAAACAATGAAAATCCTTTTTAAAAATAAAATTAAAAAATTTCATCAATATGTGAATAATTTTTTTCCCATAGCAAATTTCTACCATAAGTAATAGATATTGTGTTTTCATAATTTGTTTGCTTTATCAACAATTTATTTTTGCATAATTTTTTTAAAGATAGTTAAATACTAAGTAATTTTTCAAAATGTAACCACCTTAATTAGATTTATCATGAAAAAAAGGAAGTTTGAAAAGTATTTTAATACAATATTTTAAAGGTTTCAAGTTCACAATTTTTAAATTTAATTATTAGATGATTTTTGTTTTGATATTAACATTTAATTACATAGTTAAAAATAACTAAGAACATAAGAAACACAAAATTAAAAAAACAATTTAATTATAATTAATTTAGTTAAAAGTTAATTAAGTAGACCTTATCAAACAAGGCTCAAAGCAAAATGTATTATTCACCCAAGTCTGTCATATATATATAAATCAAAATCATAATCAATTATTTATTAGAATATGTCATGATAAAAGAAAAAAACTTCCCAACATCGCTAACAAAAAAAATAATTAAGAAATTATAACATAATGCTATAATATTATATATTTCTGGACTCATAATTCTAGTTCTCCATGATAACCATTAAGGTTGAACACTTGTAAATGCAGCTATATATATATATTATTACTATATAAGAAGAGTGAATAAATTCACTCCTCTTTCGACACGTGGCACCAAAAAAAAGGAGAGGGTTGAACATAAGTGTGAAAGTGAGGGTATTTTCGGTATTTAAAAATACCCTCACATTCACACTTATCTACTAAAAAAAAATTACTATATAATATATATAATGTATAATATAAGTACTAGATAAGTGTGAAAGTGAGGGTATTTTCGGTATTTAAAAATACCCTCACATTCACACTTATCTACTAAAAAAAATT